GGTGGGTGCTGAGTGAGGAGAGTCAGGGTGGGTGCTGAGTGAGGAGAGTCAGGGTGGGTGCTGAGTGAGGAGAGTCAGGGTGGGTGCTGAGTGAGAAGAGTCAGGGGGTGTTGAGTGTGCAGAGTCAGGGGGTGTTGAGTGAGAAGAGTCAGGGGGTGTTGAGTGAGGAGAGTCAGGGTTCAGTCAGAAGAAAATAAGAGCAGATTCAAGGACAAGAACTGATGCCACCAGAGTTTAAAGATGGAGAAAAAAGATTTTTAAATAAGATTTAAATCAGGACAGAATAAATGTATCATACAAATTTAGAAAAAAACACATTTGCTCAACTAATGTTAAAAACTAAAGTTATGAAACTATAAGTTACATTCTCAACAATCAGCTGATTTGCTCCTTTACTGGTTCTTGCCAATTTGATCAAGAAAATGTACTAACAACTATGTGCAGGTACCAATTCGCACAGGCACCAACTGGCACAGATGTGCCTCCTGTTGATTCCCATTCTTATTAATTTTCTTATTAGTAATTTACGAATGAGAATCTTTTTTAAAAAAACACTCATGAGCCGGGCAGTGGTGGCGCACGCCTTTAATCCCAGCACTAGGGAGGCAGAGCCAGGCGGATCTCTGTGAGTTCGAGGCCAGCCTGGGCTACCAAGTGAGTTCCAGGAAAGGCGCAAAGCTACACAGAGAAACCCTGTCTCGAAAAACCAAAAAAAAAAAAAAAAAAAAAAACACTCATGAATCTTACAATGTTTTTAGGAGTTACTGATCCAAAGTAAACCTCCACTGACCAATGTGTCCTAAGCCTCACTTCTAATACCAGCTTAACTAGCTATTACTTTATCTTCTCTCTTTACTTTGGGCATAGTGATATGCCAATATATTTATAAAGTCCTTTAAATACAAGAATCTGTGATTGTATTATCCTCAATATTTAAAGAAAAATAAGAGCTAGATAAAACTCTAAAGCAAAATGAGTTCTATTCTAAATTCTGAAACCGTTAAAAAAAATCGACAATTTGAACATATACATGTTGATTCCACTCCTTTATGTTTATTCTTTCAGCAAACACCAGATAACATGAGCAAAGCCACTTTACTCATAATAGTTACACATTCTTTGTTTTACTTTTTTACAGGCTGTAAACATTCGTAAGTGAATAAAATTCTTGGCTGAAGACAAATTCCAGATTCTGCCATATACATTTCCAATCAGGACTAAAGAACACTCGTGGGATTCCCATTAGACCACCAGCAGCAGCAGCAGCAGCAAATTTAATTCGCATATGTTGTCTTTAAATTAACAACTGCCATTCTTAAAAGACTTTTTTTTTTTTTTCATTTAAAGCTAAAATGGTAGAAGTTGGCCATACACTTTATTCATAAATATACTGGCCATTTTAAAATAAAACATATACACAAAATACAGAAATACATAATTAAGTACATTTAAATTCATGTCAAAACAACAAAACATTGATGAGTTATTTTAGACTATCTTTGTTAAAAATGAAATTTTCAGTAACAAAGTTTCATAACATTTTGTTTTGTTAATCCTCAATGCTGATATTTTAACATGAAGATAATATTACTTCAAACTAAACTCAAAGCATTCAATTTACAACTTCATTCTTTTGCAAATTTCACAGAAAAAAAATCAGAAGTTACAAAGCAGGCACCCTTCACAACACACTGTGTAGGAGGCAGAGCATGTTTTAGTCTGCTGGAATGATCTCAAAAGGCCTGACTTGCTCTGCTGACCAGTCTGCCAGCTTGCCACAGTGCTACCTGCTTTTAACATCATAAGCCCATTATTTACTCACAGACAGTATACATGGATCAAAAGCCCAAATATTATAAACGTGATGCTCAATCTTATTATATTTCTAACTTGAAAAGAAAACAATTAAACCAAAAAAGTTTCATTTTCATAAATTTGTTTTGTTTTGTTGGTGCTAGAACCTGAACCTGGAACCTGGGCATGATAAGCAAGTGCTCTCCTAGAGCTGTGTCCCCACCCCATGGTCCTGTGCTGTATAAAAACAGCAGACATGTGCGTAAGTGGGTACAACTCTCTCACAAAGAGCACTGTCAGAAGTGATTTGAAATCCTAGTTACAAAAATCATTCCTCAGGAAACTGTTCTGTACTAATGTTCAGCTCTTGGCTCCTGAACAGTGGCCTTCGACTTTACCTATACATATAATAAAATAATTAGACATTTGAGTGGAAGAAAAAGTGATACAATATGTAACAAAATCATCTCTAGCCAGGGCTTCTTTAAATCCCAGAAAGTGAGCATAAGCAGAGACCTTGTCAGAACAAACTGGAAAGGGGGCAGATTTAAGGAGAATGTGACCATGGCCCCTTCTGCATTACAAAAGCATCACTTTGCACAGCAATGAAAGGCCACTGGGTGTTTCTCAGTGGAAAAAGGCTCTAAGGGAAGCAAGGCCACTGAGAAGTGTTGGGGAAAACACAGGAAAATGTAAAAATTCTCAGTTGTGAGGAGAATAAGGACACAAAGTAACTTCAGCCTCAAGCTGAAAAAACAGCAACATAGAAGTCAGTCTTTTTAAAGCTACACACAGAAAAGGAAAGTCTCCAATTTGTTAAAAAGGTTGAATACAGACACAATGAACACCTGTTTACCACAGATTTTTGTTTCATTCCTTTGAACTTCACTGAACTTAATACTCACTTCTCATGTAAGTATTAAAAATTCCTAAAAGTAGTTTCTCCTTAGCTGCTGAGATATGGTACATAACAAGTTTCATTCACCTTGCTGATCCTAGTAACACCAAAGTTACTATGATCACGCTCATTTCATAAGCATTAATAAACTTACTGACACTACAATATGCTCCTATGATGACAGAGACAGAGTCTCTGTACTTTAAGAAAAATTCTATCAAAATACTTACTTTGGGAATATCGAGTTGTGGGGCCAAAATTTAAAACAAAATTTATTCAAAATCAGAATGTCCAAGATAACTAAAACTCATTAGTGAGAAGTGGAACACCTTGGTCTATGAATGATGTTTTCCACAACAGACTTTAAGTTCTAGGAATGCCATTAAGAGGGCACTGGTTTAAGTTAATCCAACATATTTCTAAAAAGCCTGCTAGCAAGCTTATTCATAAAACTGACTTAAGGTAGCTGTGTTTTTCAGTAGCATTTACAACAATCTAGCACTTGATAGGAATATGCAGATTGGCACACTCTATAAAACATAGTGTAACATTTTGTAAACTAGCTGCAATTTTCAGTAGCTGAGTTCACCAACCGTGTGACAGAATTATAATGTTCTCCTAAGCCATATGCATGCCTCATGTATCTGAAATGAAAAAAGAGAAAAGAACTAAGTCATTCTGAAGAGGTATTTACTATATGTAAATGAATATATCATACTGACATACAGAATTGCACCCTGAATGTCCCAATCCAGAGGTATCATTGACTATATGAGCACATTCATTGAGCTCAACATCATGTCACATTGTTGGCAGTCAGCAAGCAGTTCCAATCACTAGTGGGGCAAAGGCTGAGATGCTGATGGCTCAATGAGCTCAAAGTTTCACTAAGTTCAAACTATTAATGGTAAGAGCAGCTAGTAAGAAACTGGAGAAATAAACCCTCCATATTGACTGTGAGGGGCCAATTCTCACTCATGCAAATACATTCACAACATGAAGGGCTGTTTGAATGATCCCACCTTTTGTGCTAATTAAAACTTAGTTAATGTCAATCTGGGCAACACACAAAACCAGTGCTGAAATTTTACAGCCTTTTGAAAGGACTTTATTCTTAGCCCATAGAGAGAAAAATAGATCAACAGTCTAAGCAATTATGTAAACCGCACATTCTGATGCTTTCTAGTTCTGTCTTTAACATAAGCAGAGTTAATTTAGCTAAGTATAGCATTTTCATTAGTATACATAATCTAAAATTTTTTCACATCTTTTTGTCATAATTATGAAAAATAAAAGAGTAAACCTTAGATACTTACACTAGTACTAAAGGATTCCTTGGATACTCTTCACCGACTACAATAGGAGGAGCGTCTGCTTGGAGTATCTCGATTGGTGTTTGTAAAATGTGAGACAGAGCTCTTAGCTATAGGGAAAAAAAATAGATAGAGAAACAAAATTACAAATCTTACTCAAATCACAACTACTGAAGTACATACATAGAACATGGCAACCAGTCAGAGCAAAGATGTGCTGCTCTGTTCCTAATAGTACCAGGAGCTCAGGTAAGAGGACACTTAGTATTTGCTGAATTGGTGAAAAAAATTAAAAATAAATAAATACATAAGTAAGTAAAAGGCTGCATCAAAGGCAGAAGTTTCTCAAGCCTTGGACACACAACAGTTTTGTAAAAATACCAATGTCAAATGTGGTGAAGTGGGTGAAGGACAGACTGTGATTATTATACCAGTCTCTGGCTTGAAAACATTCCATTTCTCATAATGATACAATCTTTAAGTACTAGTGGCTAAGCATCAGATCTAATCATTACCAGCCAAGGGAAAGGGAATAGGATCTGGCAAAACATGAGGTTCACTTTTAAAAGTTTCTAGGATGACGCTGCTGCAGTCAGCATCAAGAACTGCTGCTCTGAAACTTTCAGCAAGAATGAGGTATGTATGTGAATTACTCTGGCCTATGATGGAATCTCCATCTGGTCAGCATGCTGTACTACCTTAATTTTGTAACATGCAATATAACCTTAGAGCTTAAAGCCTAACAAATAATAGCCACTAAAAAAATAATGCTAATGGCAAATGACATACTATAACTAAGCACTATAATCATGTATATACTGTATGTGAATTAATTCATCCAGTCTTCATAATAACTTCATGGAGCAGATTCTGGTGAGTTGGTTTTGGTTTGGGTTTTGTTGGAGACAGCTTGCCTGTTTGTTGATGTTGCTTAGACAAGAGTTCTCACCATGTAGCCCAGCTGGATGGGAACTTGCTATGCAAACCAGGCTGGCTTCAACTTGCAGAGGTCCTCCTGCCTCTGCATTCTAAGTACTAGTGTTACAGGTGTGAGCAGCCACACCCACTTTACTGTTATTTTTGACACCTAGAATCTGAAGTAGAAATATGCTAAAAGAATTCCCTGGGTCAAAGAGAAAGTTAAATGACCCTGTTAACTGAGGAAGCTGACTCTAGAACCTGAGTTCATAATCAAATCCATCACTACCAGCCTTTCAACATGGATTGCTAATGCATGCATCAGCCCAATTACAAAAGTTACAAAAAATACATGGAACCTTTATGAGGTTTTGAATGAATGTTAAAAATTAATTCAAAGCCGGGCGTTGGTGGCGCACGCCTTTAATCCCAGCACTCGGGAGGCAGAGCCAGGCGGATCTCTGTGAGTTCGAGGCCAGCCTGGGCTACCAAGTGAGCTCCAGGAAAGGCACAAAGCTACACAGAGAAACCCTGTCTCAAAAAACCAAAAAAAAAAAAAAAATTAATTCAAGAATATGAAAAGGATTCTCTGCTACATGGACAAAATGAGATAAAATCCTATATTCTTTTGCAAACTATTCCTTTAAAACATTATTTTTAATTTTTTAAAACTAGCACAGAATAGTGTGCAAAGCAATGTTTTCAAAAAGCCATACAATAGGGCCAGTGAGATGGCAACGCAGCTGAAGGCCCTTGACACCAACCTGACAACTTGAGCTGGTTGCACACGGTGAAAAGAGAACATCAACTCCTGAAAGTTTTCCTGACTGCAGTTAAGTCTGCTCTGGCACTCGTGTGAACACACACACACACACACACACACACACACACACACACACACACACACAATAAGGTTTGCTTTGGGCTTTGGTTTTGATTGATAATATACACATTTATCCCACTGTCAAAACAACAATTTGTACTTCAAAGGAATTAATTCACAAGCAATGAATGAGCAAATATCCTTCCAAAGATGTTTTTAAAAATTGTCTCAATTAAATGATCTCAATCTAAGAGAATCAGGTCTCCAATATCGTATTACTCTGTGAACCGTTTGAAGTAGTTCAAGCCTCTTTATTCCTGCCATCACAAAGCTGGTGGAACATCTGCAGTGTCTGAGTCAGGAGACAAAACTAATGGGGACAGTTCCCTCTGGTGGAGAGGTCCAACTACAGCACCGTATTAAAAAGTGATTGCAAAGGAATCTTCATCTTCAAAGTTTAAGAGGTCTTCAGAGGCAGACTACTGAGGACAATCAGCCACCTTTATAGTGCTAACACTGCTAGAGTCACTCATCTGTCATCTGAGTTCACAAACTCTCATGCATCATGTCCTCCCTACCTTAAGCTAATGTCACAGCATTCGACTAAGTCATTTTAAAACTAGAGGTCAAGTAGTTGAAGACTCGTCCAAGGCACAAAGGAAAAGTTTGAACATGAGCCTAGGATTTGCCGCCTCATCCTTTCTCTACCATCTCAGACTGCTTTGTTGTAGTTAAGCATGATTAACAGTAAATTTTAAAAATTAGAGCTCAAAGAAGTCATGTTAAGTTTCTATGTGTCTGAATATATTGTTTTCTTATACAACAATGTCAATGCAGCAATGTATTGCCCTCAATACACTAATAAGCAGGAATTCAAAAGATAACTGTAACAAATGTGTTTTGGTAAGTTTTATACAAAATAAAATTTTCATTTTGCATACCCTAGGCTGGTCTTAATGCTTCATCCTCTGGCCTCAGCCTCCCTAGTGATAGAATTACAGGCATTTAATGTCTGATTCTGGTTCATTTCTATTTCTGATAAATATGTTGTAAAGAAGAAGTTCTTTTTCCAACACTGATCTACTAGACTGAAATTCACTTTCATGGAATAAAACCTCTAATTTTTCTTTCTTTCTTTTTTTCTAAAGGTGTCTCCCTGGGCTGGAGAGATGGCTCAGAGGTTAAGAGTACTGGTTGCTCTTCCAGAGGTCCTGAGTTCAATTCCCAGCAACCACATGGTGGCTCACAACCATCTGTAATGAGATCTGGTGCTCTCTTCTGGCCTGCAGGAATACATGCAGGCAGAACACTGTATACATAATAAATCAATCTTTAAAAAACAAAGTCTCTCCCTACATAACCCATGCTAGCATCCAAGACTGCACTACAGATGTGCACTATCACATCAAGTAAGTCTTCATTTTATTGTCTTCATTATTTTTTTAGATACAGAAAAATCAAACAGATTGGCCATAGAAGCATCACAAATAAAAACATTCAGATGCAACATCAGCTTCTATAAGTCATGATTTACTTACTCAAAGGTACATGGTCTAACCCCAGGGAAAGAATATGCAACTCTCTATTTCTGTCAGTAGAGAAATGGCAAATGTAGAAAGGAAGGCATCTTCAAAGAGAAACTGGGTTTCGCTGAAAAAACTGTGTGCAACCTACAAGTGGAATCCATAATTAATTTAACAGCCACACACTATGAACTTACAGGCTTACCTCAAGCTGACCTCCCCATGCCGCAGTGTTTACAATGTCATCACAGTATTTTCTGAATTCCTCTGTAGAGAATACATCACAATTTTTATATCATCACACAATCCCTGATGAAAACATCCAAATCCAGAACATCTTCCTTCTGTATCATGTCCTTTTAAAAATGTAATCTAATTCCCAAAAGCACATTAAATACACCCACCCCAACTTTCCACCATCTTTCTATGCAAGAGCAAAGCATTTCTACTCCTCGCCTTCAACCTGGGACCCAGAGATAAGGTAATTAACTGACTTTTCTCATCATCTAATGCAAACTCCTAAGAGTGTCAACAAATTCACTATTCTGACAAATGTTCTACAGCCACAATTGCATGTGAAATGCTATACATGGTTAAAATATGTGGCATTTCTATAATTAGGCTTACTGTTAGGAGCCTACAGAAAGTGAAAGGACAAAGATCTCCCCATGGGTAGCAGCAAATAGTTTCTCAGCTTGTCATTTTATGTATCTTTACATGATTTGTATCAGTATCACTTTTAGTAAAGGGAGATTTTTCTGAATCTCTGAAAAAAGTAAAAGACCTAATCTCTGAGTTTACAATAGGCATATTATTGTACACATACACCTTTAAGTGCAGCATATTAAAATGAGCTAAACATGAGATGGAGAGATGGCTTAGTAGTTAACAGCATTTTGCTGGTCTTTCAGAGAACCTGGGGTTATATTCCTAGCACCCATGAGAGCTCACATCTGTCTGTAACAACAGTTACAAATGATCTGATATCCTCTTCTGGTCTCCAAGGACATAAGGCTCACACACGGTGCATAGACATACATGTAGGCAAAACATCTATACATATAGAATGGGGCCAAACATCCTTCCGGTCCAAGGAAGGGAAGAAAAGCTATGAGAACTAAAAGAAAAATATGCCCCATGTGTTAATCTCTTTTGCTATTAAGTCTATATTTTCAAAACAGTACCTACTAGAATACCATGGCCTTCAATAAAAATTTATTGAATGAACTAACACTTTTGTCTTTTTCTTTGATACATGAATTGAATAATCTACTACTAGCAGAGTTGTGTAGATAAATTTAAGAACTCTGATACATGAAGTCACACTTGAGATCTATCCACAGATACCTAACACATGCATCACTCACCACAAATGACCAACTCAACTGCTTGAGCTCACTCTGTCCATTCTGTGCTATGTTCTACCTTCTTCCATGAAGGGCAGGTTCCATTAAAGGAAAGTCAGCCTGAACCATCCCTTCTCTAGCTGCTCCCCCAGTGGAAACTGCCATACCTATGGTCGTCCTTACATTTCCTTATTCTTGAGTTCAAATCAAGGCCCACCTGGGCTACAGAGTGAGTTCCAGGAAAGGCGCAAAGGTACACAGAGAAACCCTGTCTTGAAATACCAAAAAAAAAAAAAAAAAAACCATTTCCTTATTCTTAACATTCCTGAAGCCCTTCTAGATTTGGACTTGGTCTCTGACTTGTTTGCAAATTGTGCATGTTTTTGCAAGTTGTGAATTTTGTTTATTTATCATAAAAACTGCTCCTTATCAATTTATTTTAATAAAGAGGAGAGATTATTGTTCATGAAGGGTTGTGAAATCAAATTTTACTTAACTAGTAACCTTCCTAGCTATAGCTTATCATACTTCCCTCAGTATGATTAAGTTAGTTTTCACAATCATTGTTTGCTCATGGTCTTGAAGCCCTACACAAACATACTTACAAAGACTGATCAAAACTCACCTCCAACTTTGTTAAACATCAATTAACACACATCTTTCAATAATGACTAACCCTGCCCCTGTCTTATTTTCTCAATGACTTACATATAGCAATAACATATTTTAACTCCAAAATTGTTAAGTACTTAAGAGATAAAGTAAAATATATCTACATCTATTCAAAGTATAGAAAATAATTCTGCCTACATTTTAGTGATCTGTATTCTTCATAAGAAAGAAAGGTCTTACATGCTACACCCAAGAAGCACTTTATTTGAAAACCAGACCCACTAACAAAATGTAGTGAAGAAAACTAAACTACCTGGAGTATACATATTTCCTGTATTGGGGTTTGTTAAAAATGGCAGGAAGTCTTCGGAATGACTTTGCATGTACTCAGCAGTCTGCTTCCGGAGGGCAGCCACAGTCAGAGCACAGTCCTGCTCTCTCAGCTGATCCTCAAGCGCACCATACATGCAATGACCATCAGATGGAATAGGTTTAATTTCCAATTCTCTGGCTGCCAATATCTGAGCAAGTTTTTCACTCTCGACATGTCTGGCTCCAGATAAGTTCTCAATTTCAGCCTCAGCTATCCTTTCTTCCCGCTCCTTTTCCAATGCAGCCTTTTTTTCCTAGAACAAAAATATAGGAAAGTAAATTGATAATAATTAATTAATTCACATTTTGAAATTTTTTGCCATTTTCCTTCTCCCACAACTGTCTTCATAAGGTCTATTTAAAAATATGTCAACAACTTTACTGGCTGATTTCAAAGTACTGTCTTAAGATTCAGTTGTCTGCTGAGCTTGGGAGGCAGAGGCACTTGGATCTCAGTGAGTTTGAGGCCAGCATGGTCTATATAACGAGTTCCAGGACAGCCAGGGCTACAGAATAAGACCCTATCTCAAAAACATTAAAAAGATTCAGCTGTCCTCAGTATTAAAGCCCAGGATCACATTTAAGCCCAGACTAACCCAGTTGCATCATTCTGCCAGTGGATTTACCATGTTAAAACCACCTGAAGGGCACAAACAGGTACTACTTTCATCTGTGTTCTTAAAGTGGATATAGCACCTCTACATATAGTTAATAAAGCAACTGACTTTTAAAAAGTTTGCTTTTATCTAATTCAGGTATTACAGACAGACTAAAATCCCTCTAAATCCTAGTGCTCTCTAAAGCTCTGAGGACATATCCTCCCAGATTCCTCTTCTCTGCACCATAATAAACCCAATACAACTACAGAAAATGTGGCACATCCTTTATAGCAAAAATGGCATTGTTCTTTTTTTTTTTTGTTTGTTTGTTTTTTTGCTGAGACCGGGTTTCTCTGTGTAGCATTGCGCCTTTCCTGGAACTAACTTGGTAGCCCAGGCTGGCCTCGAACTCACAGAGATCTGTAGATCTGCCTCTGCCTCCTGAGTGCTGGGATTAAAGGCGTGCGCCACCACCGCCCGGTGGCATTGTTCTTTATATAGTATAATTTGCTTTCTATTTAAACAAAGAAATACGAATTCTTGAGATTTTCCCATGACTACATATCCAGGCATGTTGCAGGGTTCAATGAGTCAACAAGAGATTTGTTAGTGAGTGCAGTGGGAAATTGGGGGGCAAAGAAGAACATTCCCAATAGTTGTAGTAAGAACCACAAGCCAGAGAACATCCATGTTTCATAGCTAAAAACAATTCACAGAACTAGCGCATAAGAGAAAAGTGTCAAGAGATAAGGTTGCTGGCTAAAGACAGGTTACAGATGATTATAAGCCACCGTCCCAGGACTGGGAACCAAACCCAGGTCCTCAAGAAGAGCAGCCAGTGCTCTTAACCACTAAGCTATCTTTCAAGTCCCTGAAAAATCTTGATTTAGCAAATTACAGAAGGAAAAATGGTAAAGCAATTTTATTAATAGGTCCCCTTGGGACAGAACAGGAAGGCACAATTCAATAAACTGAATGACTGCCATCATGTGCCATGTGAGATAACTTCAAATGTTAGTTTGTGGGTTTCAGTACCTGAATCAAGCTAAGCAGTAATAGCTCACTAACAAAACATAAACCAGTATAGGATTTTTCTTCCAGCTTGAACCATGAGAAAAGCAGCATGATTTACCTCACTGTTCACTACAACTGTGGATCTGGATATAAATCTTAAAACACAAGGTGGCACTATTACTTTATAAAAGACTAAAACCAGTTTCAGTTCAGTGGGGAGAGGAAGAATAAGCACCTTGGACATCTAATCCAAACCCCTCATTTTCCTCTTCTGAGGAAACAGCACGCAGAAAGATTGCCATACAGCTGGTTAGAGCACAGCAGGGACGGGACAACACACAGAGCTCCTTCTATGCAGGCACCTGAATCAGAATAAAGGTTGGAGCAGACGGCAGCCGGAGTTAATGTCATTCACTTTTTCACTGACAGAATGGAACTGCACTCTATCTTCCAAGCCTGTAAGTCTCTGCTAATTTCTACCATTATCTTTTCTTGCCTAATGATCTGCTTCAGAAGTAAAAAGCAAATGAGTTTGCTTCTAGTCAATCAGGTGGGAAATTCATTGGATTCTTGTCTCTGTGGGAGTTTCCAACATTAGGTACTTTTCTACAAAGATAGTGCTAGAGACAGAATGGCAATAAAGACCGATGGGAAACAAGAGTATGGATAAACTCATAAACACACTGCTAGCAAAACTGGAGTCATGTTGATTTGGGCACTAGTCCAGGTTTGTATTAAACTTTCACTCTCACTGAGATAACCTAGATATCATCTTTCTCCTTTGTAAAATAAAGAAACTTAGATCTGATTCTCTCTCTCAAATTCCTTATTTCTGGAAATCAATTATTTTATTTCTACCTTTTTGGGGGGAGGGAACTGAAGCAGCTGGTTCTCTACTTCCACCACGTACGTTCCAGGAATTAAGTCAAGTCCTCATGCTAGGCAGCATGCAACTTTATCCATTGAGCCATCTTGCTAGGCACAAATTCCTGAGTTTACTAAAATGCCCCCACGTTTCTCCAAACTAACAGACTCCAAGAGTCTCATGATAAATCACCATAATATTGCCGTGCTTTTCTTCCAGAATTGTCTCTCTAGCAAAAACGACTGCCAGTGGTTAACTGGCTTCTTAATCCTTGGTGCTTTGGCAAAAAGAACAGTTCCAAATAACCTAAAGTCGAATTTGCCCATCCTGAATTCAGGTTCCATTCTATTAAGCATTATGAACATTTAGTGTTTCCTGCTCCAAAAGCACACTAGATTAACAAGTAATAAACTGGGAACTATTTTCTCTGCCAAGTGATAAAGCAATAGACTATAAATAGTACTAAATTGATCAGAGTATAGTTGGAAAATGTATTAAGTTCAAACAGGAGAGAAGTAACAAATTTTTAAAGAAGACAGGTCTAGGTAGGGATAAACAGGCATTGATAAAAGGAGCTACAGCCTTGGATTTTAGATTTAAACTGGCTAGTATTAAATGAAGCAATTAATAAATACAAGTAAATTTTTTAAATTGTTATGGAACTTGCACACAAAACACCTTGTTTTTGATATACAGAAAGTGACAATTGCAGAACCATGACAAAAAGAATGGCTATCATAAATAAGGAGTTGAACTAGAGTAGCCCTTCAAGATAGCATGAGTTCAAGCCGGGCGGTGGTGGCGCACGCCTTTAATCCCAGCACTCGGGAGGCAGAGCCAGGCGGATCTCTGTGAATTCGAGGCCAGCCTGGGCTACCAAGTGAGCTCCAGGAAAGGCGCAAAGCTACGCAGAGAAACCCTGTCTCGAAAAACCAAAAAAAAAAAAAAAAAAAAAAAAGATAGCATGAGTTCTAAATGATTCTTTCAAATTCACAATGGTAATATTAGTCAAGAGCAAAATTCCATAAAAATATGATATTTGACTATTTGCAACATACAAAAAGAGATAGTGTCTTAGGCCTAATTTTTTAAGAGGACTATGATATACTTAACATAGTAAATGTTATCATTTGTTGACACTAGAGTTCTCCAGGCCTTGTATTAATGGTCCTGGCCAGTTTAATCATTTAATATCCATAATAGGCCTATGACATGGTATCAGTTTCCCCTACCTACTATTGAAACTGAATGCAAAGTCATGAGAGTGAGTGAAATGCAAGCCTAGTCTGGGGCTGGAGAGCAGCCTAGGGCCCTGTCTGACCCTCAAAAGCACAATTTAATAAAAGGGAAAACACCCATTTTGTCCAACACTAACCTTCAATGCTCTACTATATTATGTACTAAAAAAACACTTAGATCTTACTTAAAACACTTACTAAAAAAATACGCACTTAGATCTTAGAAAATATGAAGAATTAGTCAAGTAGTATTCAGTACCAAAATACGAACATTAAACTTCCTTTTCTAAGTGAAATGGGCTTAACCCCCTCATGCCATTTTCATGAACACACTATTTCCAATAAATCTAATGCTGTATCTCATTCCCCATTTGTTTTTATAAGTTATTTCTCCTGTGTAGAATGTCTTTGTCTAAACATTTATCTTTCCTTCAAATTATAATACATCAGTAACACTTGACATAATGAAGTTTCCCTTCTCTTAGTGTAATTAAACATTATATAAATAACAACATAATTCTCTCAGAACTCTGGATCCCTGCATGTTTTATTGTATTTCTAAGTTCAAATCTTTACTTTATCCCTGAGCATTACTTTTTTAAAAATATTTTTAAAGTTTATTTTTAATTATGTGTGTTTGTTTGTGTGTGGGGGTATGTGCATGTAAGTGCAGGTTCCCATGGAGACCAGAGGCATCAGATCTCCCTGGAGCTGGAGTTATAGATGGTTGTGAGCAACCCCACAATCGGGAACCAACTGTGGTCTGAGCCATCTTTCCAGCCTCCTGAGCACTAATTTTTAAACAGGGTTGTGCAGTCACATGACCCCAGTCTTTGAAATTTCTAAATTAAGTTTACAATAATGTATTTGTCTAAGGAAAAAAAAAATAGTCCTTTGCCTCTACTCTAAGAATTGCAAACTAGACCTCTTATTTTTCATTGTCTTATACCTATCATCTTCTGTAGAAGGAAATAAAATCTTACTTCATAAGATTACTGTCAGGACTAAATAAGATTTCAATATAAATAGCTTAGAATATTATCTGACATAAGACAAGCACTTATTAGACATTAGTTCAGGTCCCTAGACAAGGAACTCTATTTTTTTCTAATCTTTTCTTATATAATACCTAAGAAAGTATTGAGTACTAGCTTATATACTTGGTGATATGACTTTCATACCCGTCTCTTTTGTGCTTTTGAAATCCGAGGTGGTTGATTCTCAAGTACCAAGTTTGAAATGTTAACAGCAACAGAATCTATCTGAAGGAAAAAACATTAAAAAAAAGAAAGAAAGAAATTAATAAAAATGTTTATAACTTATTGAAAGTGTTAGACTACTAAATTATCATTGAAACTCCCTGAATTCCAGTTTGAACAGCAACCCTAGACACAGTATTAAATAGTATGGTTTGTCACCTTTCTCTACTTTCATGGATGAATTTGTAAAATTGCCAAGATTTTTCATAGCTCTCCAAAGACAAGGCTCATTCTTACATACTTTCTGTCCTTCTTGAACCTACTCCATTACTCTAAATACCTTACTTTGTTTCAGGGCATCTATCTTGTCCATCAATGCTGACATACAAAATAATTTGTGCTCATCACTACCTTCATGTTCTTAAAGGTAACAACTGAGTCACTTCTCCGTGTTAATTAGCCAAAATTTAATGAGCACTAATTTCTGAGGCAAAAACTGAGCAATTTCTATCTTCTCCTAGCTACAAACTGACAGCTTCATTAACAATTTACAATCAACCCTAAACTTCAAAGGTTAACAGTGTTAAAGAAAAAAGTTACCCTTCTACTTGGATAAACAGCTAGTATGTCATTACTGTATGTAACTCAAGCTAGTTTTTAGTATGATAAATATATAAAACTCAAAGCATCTGAAAACAGATGCAAAAGTCTCCAGAGACTATGTCCCAAGTGATAAAACTATCAAAATCTGATAGACTTCAAATAATTTAACAACTTTATTTAATATATTCTTTGTTTGTTGGTTTGTTTTGTTTTGATTCTGCCAAAATTTGCATGATATTAACAAAAAAACAGAATTCAGAATCGGGGCAAGGCCAAAAAGAAAACACGTTTAAGTTAATGAAAAGGAGGACAGTTAAGGCGGGCTGGAGAATTTGCATCTTAGCAGGTAAGTGGTGAATGGTTAAGAATCAAACTTTTCTTTCTCTTTGGAAATCTTGAAATAGAAGGCCTAAGAGAGCAAACCAAACACCCTGCTGCTAGAAAACAGAGGGAGACAATTAGGAACAGCACAATGCTGACATGCCTGAACACTTAAAAAACACCACACCGCCTGGGCGGTGGTGGCGCACGCCTTTAATCCCAGCACTCGGGAGGCAGAGCCAGGTGGATCTCTGTGAGTTCAAGGCCAGCCTGGGCTACCAAGTGAGTTCCAGGAGAGGCACAAAGCTACACAGAGAAACCCTGTCTCGAAAAACCAAAAAAAAAAAAAAAAAAAAAAAAACCCACACCTTGTTTTCACACTTATGTGTATGGGAGGTCAGAAGACAAATCATGCGGAGTCAGTTTTCTCTTTCTTCCCTGGAGGTTGAATTCTGGCATAGAACTCAGATGGTCAAGCTTAACCACAAGACCCTTACCTGGTAAGCTATATGGGCAGCCCCCATAAAAGTTCTCGTCACTTCCTTTTCTGTTGCTATTGTTGGGTTTTGAGATAGGGGTCTTGCTATGAAGCCCAGGCTGGCCTCAATCTCACAACCTCCCTGCTTCTGCCTCCTGAGTGCTGGTACTATAGGCATGTATCACCATGCCAGGCTGAAGATAAAAGTGTTTTAACAGTAAGGCAGGCCAGGAACATGATGACTGACTGAGTAATGGAATTAAAGACTTTGACACTGTATTTAATACTCTGTGTAAATGGACACACAGAAACTCTTCCCTTGCCAACAGAACAAAAATGAATGAAACCTTACGAGGAGATCTTGCATAGAACTAAGAAATTCCTATCAACAGTAACTGAGTTTATAGAATATGACTCTTCATATTCAAAACTCATGCAACAAATTACTATATTATATAAAGGTATAAAGATGGCCTGGTTTTGTTTTTCTTTGTTTGTTTTTGAAAAGAGTTTCTCTGTGTAGCCCTGGATATCCTGGAACTCACTCTGACCAGGCTTTTAACTCAGCTCTAACTGCCTCTGCCTACCAAGTGCTGGGACTGAAGATGTGTGCCACCCACTGCGGGGATTGATCTTAATCTAAGTGAGTTTCCTACTGGAAAAGTGTGATTATCTATTTCCATTTATTTTACAGAGATTGTTTTACAGGATTACTGACAATTAATTGAAATACTAGATACCATACAGTGCACAAAGTAGCTAGCATACACTGCTAGGTAGAATGATAAAGAGATCCATGTTAGCACACTCCCATACACACAAGAAGCATCCGTAAAACTTCACTCATTGCAACTGTTTCAAGAAGCACTTTTTGTGACTTAAGTATGATTTCACATCTGTTGTCCCATTTGGTTTTTATAGGAACCTGTAAACTGTGCACAAGAGCATTTGTGCCACCATGTCATATGTGGAGAAAATTTATTCTTCGCTTGATTAACTTGCAGAGGTTATTCATCATTAATCCCTGACAAGCATGCTAGTCTTCCAACTTTCACTCAAGAGAAAACTTCTCCAGCATATTTTATACTTTACATATTCATCATTGGGTTAAGTAAGTAGGTACTTCTTTTCTGATCTCTCTTTAAAAAATAAACAAATAAACCTGGTCACAAAAAACAGAGGAAATGTAAAGCTGAGTGTGGTGGTGCATGCCTATAATCCCAGCACTTGTGAGGTCAAGAGAGTAGGATCTGAAGTTCACAGTTCTCCTCTGCTACAAATCCAGATGGGTGGCAACCTGAACTACTGACACTTTGTCTCAAAAAATAATAATGATGTAATGTGATGTGTAGGATGACTGCATGACTCGACCTCACTGTCAATTTTGTGAATGTACACAGTAAGTGGTTCAACAAACTCAGCTGTTTCCAAAGGCTCAGAAACAAGCTTTATTCCCCATACCTTACTCTCCTTGAAAGTCAGTTTCAACTGCTCCAGTTCTTCCCTGTGCTTTTGCTCCATTTCTCTCTCCAACTTAGCTACATCTTCGATGAGTTGTTTCCTCCTCTTTTTGTCATTTTTGGGAACAGCGTTCTTCATTCCCTGAATTTTGGCTAAAAGGTTACCAAAACCATCGTGTCAGAGCCCCAGGAAGAGAGCGAAAAGCAGTAATAAGAGGTGAAGAGGTGTAATTATAGAATGGAATGTGATTATAGAAGCAATTAGTCATGACACAACAATCAGCTACAGAGAAAGGCCCGGATGAGGCTTGAGATCCAACACAGACCTCGTAAACACAACCCTGAAATTGTTTGGTTTGACAGAGCAAAATGAAGTTAAAAAAAAATCATTAAATTGTAAATTATAAAGTTTCCGCCTTTCAAATATCTCTTGTGACCGTCAAGAAAAAGTGAAGCAATTCAGACCACACCACTAAGGTCAAGTGTCAGGAACTGGGCAGGAATGGGGAGGGAGGCAGAGGAGGTCCAAGACCTTGGCCTCCGGGCACCGGCTGGGGGTCTGCTGCAGGCTGCACAAGGGGACACCCCCGAGGACTGCAAATCTAGGGCCGAGGGAGTGGGGGAGCGCTGGGAAGACAGACCGAAAGTTTCTGAGGGGAGGAACATCTAGGATCCAGGCTGGCCGCCCCTCCGGGTTCTCGAGGGCACACGCCACGCTCCCAGCCCCGGGTGCAGGCGACCTTTAGAGTCCCAGCCCCTGCCCCGTCACCTTGCAGCTCCTTCTTCTCCCTGCGATGCCGTCTCACCAGCTGCTCCTCCTCGTCAAGCTCTTCAGCCAAGACCTCCTCCATGACTACCGGGTGGCCGGGCACTCGCGCTGGAGGAGCCCCGCACGGCAGGCGGCCCGGCACCTCCCACCCCTCAACCCTCACCCGGGGCGCCATTGGCCGCCGCCAAGGCCCAGCCCCGCCTCAAGGCGGCTCCGGATCCGGGACTAACCACTGACACCGGGCGAAGCCGGCCTGGGCTAGGGCGCCTGCGCGCGCACACCGCTCCGGGCGGCGCGCGGGCGGCTGGGACTCGGCGACGGGGAAGACACCGGGCGCGGGAGCGTCTGCAGCACAAAGCTACGCGCGCGGCGATTGGCCCCGGGGAGCGGCGCGCGGAGGTGACGTCACGGGCGTTCTTTTGCGCTGCTTTCAATTTGTGCTTGGAACGAGTGCTTAGGCTGTGTACCCTTTCGCTAAGACACTGATTTTTCGGGTGGTGGTTGTTGTTTTCAGATAAAGCGTAGATTGAGCCGGGCGGTGGTGGAGCACGCCTTTAATCCCAGGAGGCAGAGGTAAGGGGATTTTTTTAGTTCCAGGCCAACCCCATCTAGAATGAGTTCCAGGACAGCCAGGGCTGTTACACAGAGAAACCCTGTCTCGAAAAACAAAAGTAAAGAAAGAAAATTTTAAAATAATAAAAGCGTGGATTGTTTTCAATATGGGCCATTACGTTACATTAATCATACTGTAGAGAATTAAATTTATTGTTCAGTCGGGCAGTGGTGGTGCACGCCTTTAATCCCAGCACTCGGGAGGCAGAGGCAGGTGGATCTCTGTGAGTTCGAGGCCAGCCTGGGCTACCAAGTGAGTTCCAGGA